TGAGAAATCAACGGAACATTATTAACTTTGATGTTTACAGTAACTTACTTTAAACCGTTTAATTATGGTGGTAAAGTTAAGATATCACACGAGGATTTCGATTGTTTTCACCGGTTAACTAACTTTAAAATTCGTGTGGTGTCGCTCAGATGCGAGTGAACTATACCTTTAAATCACTATGTTAAATTAATACAACTTTGAAGTACCTTGTTTAGTTATATCTTCTGTCCATCACATGGATTTCCCAATATGAAATTCACAGACGAGCATGGAATGTTGATCTTTTCAGATCTTTTATTTAATTTTTGAAATCTTAATTGAGTCCACTTTGTCATATAAAGTGTTTTAGTTGATATTTATGTTGTAGATTAACAACATAGCGCCTATCCAGTGTCTTTATTGACCATCCTTCCATCCTAGCCCTACCTGTTGAGTGCAGATAACTAATCTCAGACTCTACGATATCAATCATTTATTTCAGACATACTGGGTTTACATAAAAACCAAACAGACTACATCACACCGTAAAACAGAAAATAAACATCTGTTGGTTATGCATACTACTTGTATATGTTGACATCAGTAGCATACACCACACGGGAACGGAAAGTCATTAGTATGAAAATGCGGGAACAATGAAATCTGAGACAATGAACTGATATTTGCAAAAGAAACAGTCGAGTTTGATAAAATTTAATGATATTTTGCAAGTGAAGTAATTGCTGCATGGATCTCAGATTTTCGCAAGATGTTCTGCAATTTCGTGTTCAAATATATTCGGCTGTCCCCATATAAGTTCTTATTGACTACAACAACAACAACAACAACAACAACAACAACTACTACTACTACTACTACTACTACTACTACTACTACTACTACTACTACTACTACCACTACTACCACTACTACTACTACTACTACTACTACTTATTATTATTATTATTATTATTATTATTATTATTATTATTATTATTATTATACCAATACTACTAACAATAATAACGATAAGTACAATAACGCTGTCATCATGATATTAATTTTCTAACTATTGCTTATTATAATTAATTAGGCATGAATGATTTCCTATTTGTTATCGTTATATATTAATGAAATGATAAAGTGAAAGTGTTATATATTTAATGTTTATACATTTACTTAGTTTATAATGATTTACAATTAAAGCTTCTACTAATATTATAGCAACTATTATCCATGATTACTATTATAGAATGTATATGATTAGAAGAACAATATTCTAGGCTTAGATACTAATAAACTCTATCCGGTACATACAATAGAATACTAGCCAAATGTATCTAGGTAAATGAAAGTGTCTAATTGATCTACTTAACAAACAGTAGTATTTTAGTTATGATTCAATTGAATAGAACTTTGAATAGAGTATGAAGTAAAACGTTATCAATGAAAATATTATGTAAATAATTGTGTTTATTATTAATCTTTGACAAGTAACAATAATATGATTAGTCAATGAAGTGTAGATAGATTTGTATTCTCCACTATCTAATTATTTACACACATCTTATTACGTAATGATTTTAATGTTATGGTGTTGAGTATTCCAAGTCTATTGACCCACGTTTGTTTGACCTGCTATTCCCAAAGTTTAACCATAGATAAGTTTTGTTATTGTATTTTACTATTCTTACTACTATCAGTTCACCTGTCTTCCTACTATCAACTTGTCCTTTTACCTATTAGTGTAGAGACTTATTCTATTTCATTGTGTTTATTGACCCATATAGCGTTGATTGGTTTACATTTTCGTATAAATATTCATGTATATTAGAGTAAAGACTGATGACGATCTAATTGAAAACAATATTGTTCGCTTATATGTGTTGTTCTAATACAAATGTATGAACCAAAAACCTTCAAGTAACTATGACAATTATTTTTACTCTGTTTTTTATACTCACTATATTATATGAAGATGAATCAAAGATGAGGTTGTATATTCGATATTATTCATCGCTCGTCAGTTTTCTACGGGATGGGGTCGTTAATCCTATGCCCGAGGCTCCTCCTTTTATCCGGGGTTGAAACCAGTAGTAACCCAAGAGGGGCTCCGGGCGGAGTTATATTCGGCATTATATTGGATCTTAAATAAGTATCATTTATGAAATGCATGGAAGACATGTATGAAGTGCAAACAGTTGAATGGTGAATCAATAGCCTAAATTTTGAATGTTTGCTGTAAGATCTGAAGGTCCTGGGTTTTATTTCTGAAGATGAAGGGAGAGGATTATGAACACACTCACTGAAGAGTTCGGTACTGTGATAAAATAGTTTTCCTATGTTGCCTAGGTTTAAGTAGTTATTCACAAAATGAATTTGTAAATCTAACGATTTTTACATATCTATATTCAAGTAAACTACCAAATTCATCAGATTACCAGGGCAGTCATAATCAAGATTGACAGCATTTTGATTTCCAAGAAAGTAATGTCAATTATTGTTAACTTGATGAATAATTTGGTAGAAAAAATTACTGTTGCAGTGAGATATCCAGTTGTGCATTTATTCTCAATAGGAATCATCCTTACTTAGTTACTTACGCCTGTAACTCCTCGTAGAGGAGCATAGGTCGACTACAGACACTCTCCATCCAACCCTGTCCTGGAAAATCCTTTCCAACTCTTTCACGTTGTTAATCATCTTTTTCATGTTTGATTCTATTTCCCGGCGTAATGTGTTCTTTGGCCTTCCACTTTTCCGCTTTCCTTCAAGATTACAGGCTAGGACTTGTCTCGTGAAGCAGTTTGATGATTTCCGTAGTGTATTTCATATTCACCTCCAACGTTTTTTTCCTAATTTCCTGTTCAACTGGCAGCTGGTTTGTTCTCTGGTATCTGGCCAATTAATGTTGAGTATCCTGCGTAAACAACTATTTGTAAATACCTGTACCTTCTTGATGATGGTTGTAGCAGTTCTCGAAGTTTCAGCTCCGTATATTAAAACTGTCTTGATGTTCATATTGAAGATTGTGACTTTGACATTGATTGACAGTTGTTTTGAGTTCTATAGTTTCTTCGATTGTAGGAATAAGGCCTTTGCTTTGTTAATCCTCGCCTTTACGTCTATATCTGATCCTCCTTGTTCATCAAGAATCATTCACTATATGAAAAACATTCTTGATAGTCAAATTCGATATGGATTCATTTGAAAACCAAAGGGATGATAGTTTTCTCTGAAATAAAAATTAAATTAACAACTAGGTATTAACAATGAATTGTCACTGTTAAACGTAACAACCCATTTAATATAACAATTATTGTATTCTAAACTATTGGTTTATCAGTATCATTATGAAAATGCTTAGTTTATATCGTTCATGAAAAGCAACAACCTATACAGCATAATAGTTGTTGAATGTTGACTTCTTCATTTTCTACTGTTTTTCATATTGTATATATATGGTGAACGGTGGCGCAATTACGTGGATTGATTGAAGTTAGACATTAACACAAATGGATGACGGCTTAGTGGTCTAGTGGTTAAGAGTTTCCGTGAGAGATTGACAGGTCCTCTGTTTGAATCCCAAATGAAGGATCGTGAATGGGCATTACTAAGGAGTCCCATACTAGAACGAAAAGGCCGTCTAGTGCTTCTAGGTTTTACATGGTTGTCTAGCTTTAATTGATTCATGATCTGAACTATTGAAATTACTAGAATCTCCACAAAACCCATTTCTAATTATATCAGTTCATCATGAATACGATTCACTGATATTAGTTAGATAACCATTAGAAATTGGAATAATCAACAATGAGAAGTTATGTGATTCTAATGTGGGACTGATCTTCAGTGTGGGTCTACAACCCAAATATCGATAACATTTATAATCTCTATGTAAATGATATGGAATCGACTGATTTATATAGAATGTGCTATTATGCACGAGCCACATCTATGGATATAATCAGATGAATGGGTTTTCATAGAGGTGATGTTGTATTTTGAAGAAGGAATACATGATTAAATACGTTACGAAATGTATAAACTTCATATGAACACAACACTTATTTGGATTTCGTTAACATTCATTAACAGACATTCCCATTCAACTCTCTTAGTATCAACTGACTCATATCGGGGAATTTTCAGCATACTGAAATTCCTCAATTTACTATCATTTCATTAGATTGAAGTTTCAGTGTATATGAAATGTGAAACGTAATTACGTTGATGAGATTATACATATAATACTTCTAATGATTCTGTTTAAATGAACTGAGAATATTTATTCATTATAAGAGTTTGATTATATTGGATTCTTTGATTGAGATCGTGAATCGATTGATTTTAGACCACTATTGAAAACCTGAACGCACTGAACTGTCGTTTCGTCCTATTGTAAGACCACTCAGTGGCAGTGCACACCCAGAGTCCAACCCCGTGAGATCCGATCGCAGGATCTTTGGTCTCACGCGCGAACGCATAACCTACTGGACTACTAAGCCGGCCGGTATCCAATGGTGTTAATGTCTAACCTCAATCAATCCGCAAAATTGCGCGATCACCTTCCATTCTAGTGAAGTAGATACCTATCTCTATCCGACACGGACTAGCTTCACTGGTCACAGCTTCTCACCAGAACTCCGAGAATTTTCTCAAGAAGCTAGTCACTAGTGAGCACATGTTAATTATGGGTTGTGGAGATCATTAAGTGTTTGATTAAGATCATGAATCTCGATCATGAAATCACGAATTCCGCGAGCGGGATCATGGATGCGCACTGCTAAGGAGTCCCACAATAGGACAAGATGGCCGTGCTCCCACGTTTTCAATGGTGATCTAAAATCAACCAGTTCACGATCCCAATCAAAAAACCTAATAATCTGGATTCTGTTTTGCAATTTGTTTACTACTGTAATCCATAATATTATAGACAGTGACAATGGTAATTATTGTAATAAGTAAATGCTACTTTAGTACTAATTGAATGTATAATAAATTTGTACTTTTGTTTGAAGATAATGTCAGGATTTCAATCAGATCATCAAACTCAGACAACAGAACATCTATCAGGAAATATCTATACAATCCATTCATATTTTGTAAGTAATTATTATGGAAATAAATGCTCTCATGTAAACATCATGATTGATTATATTCGATCTATTAATTAAAACATATACTCAATGTTAAATAATCAACTAAGTATTCATTAATCAATACTGTATCTTTTCAATTGTATATCCATATTACTTACTTACCTACTTACGCCTGTTACTCCCAATGGAGCATAGGTCACCGACCAGCATTCTTCAACCCACTCTCTCCTAGAGGTCTCTCTAGGACATATCTGTCTCCGTTTGTCGGTGTAATGTAGTCTTTGATCTTCCTCTCCTTCTTTATTTGACTTTGAAGACTTTGGATTGAGGGCTTGCCTTGTGATGCAGTCGATATCCACCTAGTAACAGAAAGGAAAAAAGAAAATTGTACGATATAAAATATTATAGAATTATTCATATAAATTTGTATACCTTATCAGGTCATGGATTAGTTCTTTGATAGAATAGTACATTATCTTATAGAATTTCACCAATACATCAATATATATATGAAATTATTTTTGTTATTAATAAATAAACGTCTGTAGAAAGAATGTTTCTAGTTTGTATTATGTAGTTGAACCTTATCAAAGATCATAACTATGAGTAATATATAGAGATCACGTATTTTGGTAAGAAATTTATAAGACTTATCAATTTATTATACTTAATTGATGTATTAGATGAAACATTAAATTTATAAGCGAAGATGGATAGTTGCAAACAGTGCGATCCAGTTTGACGCGCGTTTCGTCCCATTTAGGACTCGGCAACTGGGTGTACTTGCATCCCAGAGTTGATGTTCACTTCAGGACTCGAATATAGTACCATTCGCTTCAAATACTATCGTATTATCCAGTTAGCTACTGAGTCATGATAGACACTTACTTGTGCAACGGGGTGAAGTTATATTCACTCGGTGTTGTTTACTTGTATCTTCCCTTTGTTATTTAGGACTGCAATTGATCAGTCTGTTATTGGCATACGTGCATTCTGTGCGGATTACCTTGATATTGCCTGAGATCACATGCCTTTTAAGCAAAGATGGATAATGGCTAGCAGTGGACTAGCAGCTTGTGACTTAAGGCTATATCAAGGCAGTCCGTACAAGACGAATATATACCAACAAGAGACCGATCAGTTGCAGTCCTAAACATCAACTGAAAGATACAAATAAACAACATGTTAAATTTATATCTAATACGTCAATACAATACAATATGAATTGTTAACAATCTCGATACAATGAGTGAATGAACATTTGTATTGGTAATATAAGTTGATTAATTTATTCCTAAATATTAGTAGAATTACAATCAAGAAATTCTCAGTATAAGGTTGGGGAGATTATTAAGTTTTTTGATCGGGATCATGAATCGATTGATGTTCGACAACCATTGAAAACCTGAAAACACTAGACGGCCGTTTCGTTCTATAGTGGGATTCCTCAGTGCATATCCATGATTCTGTTGACTCTCACCAACTTGCATCACCTGTAGGATGATATGTTTGTCTTAATTGCTAGCTAAGTTATAGGACAGTAAACTACGGCCATAAAACATAGCCGATGAAATAGAAGTCATGAATCGGCTGAGTGTTTTTGATCATAAGTGACTAAAGTTTCGTGGATTGACTAGAAAGAAAATACTGAGATAAGGAATAGGGTCCTCAGGAAATATTAATAGTTTCACTCAATATTATATGTTTTATGCAATAAAACATTTTAGGTTGATTAGGTTCGTAAACGTCAACAATCTAGATGGCTTGGAAGCGTAGGGTAATATACATTTGTGCCAGGAACTATTCTGTCTACAACTCACTGACTGGATATCAGAATCCAATATAATCAAACTCCTATAATGAACAAATATTCTCAGTTCATTTAAACAGAATCATTAGAAGTATTATATGTATAATCTCATCAACGTAATTACGTTTCACATTTCATATGCACGGAAACTTCAATCTAATGAAATGATAGTAAATTGAGGAATTTCAGAAGGCTGAAAATTCCCCGATATGAGTCAGTTGATACTAAGAGAGTTGAATGGGAATGTCTGTTAATGAATGTTAAAGAAATCCAAATAAGTGTTGTGTTCATATGAAGTTTATACATTTCGGAACGTATTTAATCATGTATCCCTTATTCTATATACACCATTACTGTTATATCCTAATGAAGATTAAAATTATGGATAACTTCTGAGAACTATTAATGGACTAATAGTATATATACATATTCCTTCATGTCATATTCCCCACTTGGGTGAATCTTAAATGCCATTAGTCCGTTGTGTCTTTTAGTATGCTATTTGGTAACTCTCTCCAATGACGGTTTGGTACTGTATATATACGTTTTGATTCGTGTCTGTTGTTATTGCTCGTTTCTGGCTTGTGGGGAATTTACCTCCCCATTCCAAGCTTAGACTTCTTCCTATAGTTAGCGGGGCTGAGACGCATCAAATGGTTGGCTCATTGTTTTTCGGTCACCAAGTCTTTGTTTCTGTTCGCAGTCTAAGTGAACTCGTAACCGCTTCAAATCTAGCATTAATGAAGACAATGGTGGATGTGTCACGTGATTTTGTGTATTGGATGAGGTTAGATATTACCATCATTGGATGCCAACAGACTCGGTGATCTAAAAGTTAAGAGTTCGTGCGCGAAACTGATAGGTCTTGGATTCGAATCTCGCGAGTCGGGATCGTGGCTGGTCACTACTGAGGAGTCCCAAAATAGGGATAAACGGCTTTCCAGTGCTTCCAGGTTTCCCATGGTGGTCTAACTTCAATTGACTCATGGTCTCAACTATTGAAATTATAGATTATTATTATACTATTTAATATTGTTAAATAATACTCGGTTCATTAATTACAGTGTCCCACGTTCACAGCCACTTTCTGGCTTGATCTTGTATAAATGTTATTTCCTATTTTATGGTATGATATGGTCTGTTTGGTTGATATATAAACCAAGTATGTTTGAGATAAATGATTCACATAATGTAAGTTGTTATTGACGTTCTAGACATAACTGGACAGGTTAGGCAAACAGAGGATCAATAAGAACGCTAGGCTTCTAATACTGGTCAAACGACATTGGTTTACTATAGTACTAAGAATGAATAAGTCATATTTTCGATTGGCAAATAAATCATATGATAACAAAACCTTCCTTAAAGTCATAACAATTACCTCCATGAAAACCAATTCATCTGATTTTATTCATAAAATAAATGCTACCAAGTGAATAGATGTGTCTCATCCATTATAGCACATTTTATATAAATCAATCAATTCCATATCATTTATATAGAGATTGTAAATGTTATCCATATTTGGGTTGTAGATCCACACTGAAGATCAGTCCTATATTAGAATCATGTAATTTCTAAATGTTGTTTATTATAATTTCCAATGATTATCTAACTAATGTCATTTAGTGATATAGATCTATTTATTGTTTAATATTTCATAAATTTCACTGATTGAAATCAGGAGTCAGTTGAAGCTAGACAACTATGAAAAACCTAGAAGCACCGAACGGCCGTTTCGTTCTATTATGGGACTCATCAGCAGTGCGAATCCACGATCCCGCAATCCATGAGTAGTCTAGTTGGTTAAGCGCCTGGCGCGAGACTGATAGGTCTTGGGTTCGAATTTCGCGGGGTGCGGGATCGTATATGAGCACTGTTAAGGAGTCCCATACTAGAACGAAACGGCCGTCCGGTGCTTCCAGGATTCCCATGGTTGTCTAGCTTCAATTGACTCATGATTTCAATCAGTAAAATTTCTAAAATCTTCACAAAACCCCTTCTGATAATATTTCATAAATATTAATATTTATTGAATGATTGCACGTAATGCATAAAACAGTCAGTCAGTCAGCTACAACGTAGGACCAGGTACATATGTACATCGCTCCAGGTTGCCATACCTCGTTAGCACAGCAAGATGAACACCGGATTCATAGGAGTGGTTAGGTCAAAAGTTGTAATATATAGGAGAAAGATCGCAATAAGGATATAGTATAGGAAGAAAGAATTAGTTAGTAGAAAGAAAGATATGAAGTGATTTTAATCTCTTAGTTTAAGGGAAGACAGACAGTGTATACACCGACGCCATTGTGATCGATTCTGATTCATGTCACCAAGAGTCTCCAACCATTGGTTACGAAAGCCACGCGAACCCCGACCAAGTAGTCTGCGTCTACCAACATGGCTCAGACTAGATGTTAGTGACTTCAAGCACTGATGCCACGTTTTGGTTTGGCCGCCCCTAACTTTCCTCCAACCATCCTGAACACCACCGGTTAGCATTGCACGTCGCGGTAATTGGTGTTCAGGCATACGTAACACTTGACCCAACCATCTCAGTCGATGAAGATTCACAACCTTACTAACTGATTTACCATCATTCCCTAATATCGTGCGTCGGACCTCACTATTACTTACCCAGTGATCCCAGCAGACGCCAGCAATATTTCTAAGGCATCTGTGGTCAAATACTAGTAGCTTACGAGTATCTTCTACTCTTAAAGGCCATACATCAAACAATAATATTTTAATCATTGTTTCCCCACGATCTAGGTTTGTTTAATGATTCATTCATTGTTTTTCCTTTCAGTTTTCTCATTCATTCTATATTATTAATTACATCAAATTAATGATATCACACAATGTTTAATGAATTAACAATATCACACAATTCTTTTATTACTGATTGTCTCAATTGTATAGAATGAAAATAGAATGGAATCATTTAAATATGTCTAGATTTTCTAAATGAATTATGTAGTCGGATTATTTTCTTTCCCCTCTATGAATGTAAGTTGTTGCTTTAGGATTGGTCTGCGTCAGCATGTGAACTAAGGATAGGGAGTGAAGTAGTTGAACGCATTGATAACTTCACTTATCTTGGAAGTCTGATTAGCACTAATGGTTTGGTGTCTGACAAAATCTCTGCACGGATTCGAAATGATTGTTTTGCTTTTGCAAACTTACGTCACTTGTGATAAATGCGAGATATCTGTCTATCAATTAAGAGAAGAGTATTCTGAGTGACAGTTTGTTGTGTTATACTTTACGGCTACGAAACGTGGTCATTAAGAGTAGAAGATCCTCGTAAGCTACTAGTATTTGACTACAAATGTCTTAGAAATATTGATTGCATCTGCTAGGATAACCGGGTAAGGAATAGTGAGGTTAGACGCGGGGTATTAGTGAATGACGGAAAGTCAGTTGATGAGAACGTGAATGTTCACCGACTGAGATGGTTGGACTACGTGTTGCGTATGCCTGAACACTGATTACCACGACGCATAATGCTGACTAGTGTAGGGGATGGTTGGAAGAAAGCTAGGGGCGGCCAAACCAAAAAATGGAATCAGTGCTTGAAGTCACTAACTTCTGGTCTGAGCCATGTTGGTAGATGCAGAATTATTGATTGGGGATCACGTGACTATCGTAGCCAATGGCTGGAGATTCTGGGACATGGCTCAAAATCGATCACCTTCTATCTTCCCTTGGACTATGAGATTAAAATTGCCTTATATCTTTCTTTCTATGAACTAATTCTTTCTTCCTGTTCCATGTTCTTATATGCAATCTTTCTTTTGTATATTACCACCAATAAATTAGCCACTTCTATGAATTCGGTGTTCATCTTATTGTGCTAATGAATGAGGTGTGGCAACCTGGAACGATGTATAGATGTGCCTGGTCCTACGTTGTAACTGACTGAATCGGATTCTTGATTTTATATTTTTCCCGTACATTAACTATGTTCAAGTCGATGTGATTGTTTCCAATCATTATATATATATATGTTGAACACATAATATGTATGCCTATTTATTTAGATTATTTAAATTATCCATTGTGTCGTTGAATGAAAGTAAAGAGAATTTTCATTTCTACGAAATCATTTACCTAAGCTGTATATTCGTATTTATAGTTATATGGTGCAACGATAGAAAAGATACTTACCATCTTGAATCACTTTATGGTACAATCTTTTCTTCTAGTATGAGATTCCTCACCAGTGCGCATCCATGATTCCGCACGTGGTAATCGAACATAGGACCTTCGGTCTCACGCTCGAACACTTAAACTCCAAACCACTAAAACGGCATCTAAAAGTGTTAATGTCTAACTTCCATCGATTCATGAATGGCTGCGCAACCATTTATCTATGCTGAGAAGTCCCAAACTAGGACGAAACAGCTGTCCAATTCTTCTGTGTTTTCCATGATGATCTGACATCAATCGATTTATGACCTCAATCAAAAACTTAATCTGCATAACCCGATATTGATATCAATCTTTTCTATCCTTCTATTTACGTACTAATAACAAGTCATTCGTTATACATTTTCAAAATAAAATATAGACATATAAGTAAACTGGGTTGTAAATGCTGGTAGTAATAAAACATTCATCAAAGAACAGAGATAATATTTTGGATCAATAGCATTGTTTGTAAAAGTGTCACATAAAGAATTCGGTAAGACTATCATGTATGGACGAATTGATCACCATATCAGTGTAATCTATTTCAATTGAAGATCTAGATAGCACAATATTAAATGCAAAATGGTAATTTATGAACAATGAAAAAATTTAACAAAATGAAAGGCTAATAAGTTAGCTAATTGAGCTATCAATCTATCATCACAGAGTTCATTATTCTTTGGTTTCCACACCAATCATTCTTTGTTCTCGACTTCTTTTCTTTGATCTTCTTCACCTTCTACTGTCAGAAATTTCACTTTCAATTGATGATACATACTACTTATATCTATAGCACACACTACACTCACCCCTCCTCCTTTAAAGAAGTCGTTCTTGAGGTGGTTCTGCTCGCCATACTACTTTCTTCTTCTCTGCAGTTTGTATTACGATCTTCGTTAAAATGTTGAGCCTGCAGCGCATTGACCTCCTGGCTCCATCGATCTGACAGGCCACCGAAATTCGATGTTTACCGATCATTTGGGACATTCAACCCCTGCGCTCCAGCAACATGCTGAGCCCTCTAAATCTGGTATTCACCCAGCAGTTGCATATCCTACTGCTCCTCTCCGTCGACAGCAACTGCTACAACTAATACCACCCCTCCAGAACACTTCATTCGACGTCAACTCCGCTCAACAGACCACTTTAACTAGCACCTCAAATTCAGTCCCACAACACCATCTAACAATCATTATGAATATCACATTAAATATCTATACTTATTAATTCTATTAATGATAATCATATAAAAACCTTTTTGTTTCTATTCATTATTGAATAAAGATCTTCAACTAATCAATGATGAATTAATTATAATTACTACTTATTATTATTATTATTATTATTATTATTATTATTATTATTATTGAACAGGATTTGACTAAAACAATTTAAGGTCGAATAAGAAGCGTTTCATTGAAACATAAATGATAATTATATTCCTTAAATATTATTATTGTTATTAAGAAGATTTACATCATGTTCATAGTTAAGGTTATTGGTGCATTAAAAACACTATACAATATCTTTATTATTATTATTACTATCATTACCATTACTATTACTATTATTAGTATTACTACCATTACTATTATGGTTACTGCTACTATCATTATTACTACTATTGTGTTGTGAGCTACTTATATTCATATAAGTAACATATAACAATAGTCAAGAATGGTATGTGTTTCGGTAGGAAAGAACAGAAATGGAAAGCAATTGATATGAAAATTCAATAGAAATGAAATCTGAGATGACTGATTGATATTCTGCAAAAGGAACAGTCAAGTTTTAGACAATCGATTAATATTTTGCAAATTAAATGTTTACTGTATGGTTCTAGGATTTTAGTAAATGGTTTTGTAATTTCATATTTAATTATATACGATTGTTCCAACCTGAAAGCACTGGACGGCCGTTTTGTCCTATTATGGAACTGATCAGTAGTGTACATACAAGATCCCGTCTCGCAAGATTCGAACCGAGGACCTATCAGTCTCGTGCGAGGTGAGCTCGTAGATTCGCACTGCTGAGGAGTCCCACAGTAAGACGAAACGGTCATCCAGGTTTTCCATGGTGGTCTAGCGTTTCAATCCAGGTTTTCAATGGTTCAACATCAATCGGTTCATGATCTCTACCAAAAAAATTAGCTTCAAACTATGACTACATTCATTAAATTACCTTCTCCTTTCAGATCACTAATTTTCATTCATTTAAATAGGAATTATCATTTCACCTAATAATTCATAATGATGAATGAATGACATGTGATTCGACCACTTTTTCATTGTTTATAAGTGGTAGAGTTGAATTTATACTTCGAATCCACTTGTAAAATATTCACGTTTTACTAACTAACTTTAAAATAGTTATACATGACTTATATTTTTTGAAAAACAAGGAACTTTTTAAATTCACTCGGTATTGTTTATTTGAAGGTCTCCATCATTGTTTAAGACTGAAATTGGCATATGTCCATCCTATGAAGTTTGAATTTATATTGCTTTAAGTCACAATTTTTATAAGAAAGGATGGATAATGGCTAGCGATGGAGTTCAGGATGCATGTTTCGTCCTAGTTCGAACTCGTCAGCTGGATTTATTTGCATCCCAGTGTTGATATTTACTCCAGAACTCGAACCCACTACTGTTCATTTCAAAGACCTTACTATTCAAAAACTAAGAAATTTCTGTCAAACTTACACTGATTAAAACTGTGTATCTAACATACGCTAAGACTGGATAACTTTAATCATTGTTTTTAATGATGTTAATTATGAATAAGTGAACTAACATATCAACAATGAACATCTAAAACCTTATATATATTAGAGTCTACAATATTTTAGACTGACACTGAACGCTTTATCTTTAGATAGTTAGGTTGGAATCCAACAGTCTATATACGTAACTCAAACTATTGTCTATATGAGTTGACAACCGTCTAATATCACAGAAGATACACTGATCAAACTCAACTATTATTGATTTCCTTTTAGAAACATGAAAACTCATTATGAAGTAATTGCTCATGATCCATTTTAATGAATTCTAAAGTCGTAATTACTACAGCTTAGAAATATCAAACATGAAAAAAGCTGAAATTACTCACCGGTGTTGTTGTTGTTGTTGTTGTTGTTCATGATGATGATGATGATGATGATGATGATGATGATGATGATGATGATGATGATGATGATGATGATGATGATGATGATGATGATGATGATGATGATGATGATGATGATGATGATGATGATGATGATGATGATGATGATGATGATGATGATGATGATGATGATGATGATGATGATGATGATGATGATGATGATGATGATGATGATGATGATGATGATGATGATGATGATGATGATGATGATGATGATGATGATGATGATGATGATGATGATGATGATGATGATGATGATGATGATGATGATGATGATGATGATGATGATGATGATGATGATGATGATGATGATGATGATGATGATGATGATGATGATGATGATGATGATGATGATGATGATGATGATGATGATGATGATGATGATGATGATGATGATGATGATGATGATGATGATGATGATGATGATGATGATGATGATGATGATGATGATGATGATGATGATGATGATGATGATGATGATGATGATGATGATGATGATGATGATGATGATGATGATGATGATGATGATGATGATGATGATGATGATGATGATGATGATGATGATGATGATGATGATGATGATGATGATGATGATGATGATGATGATGATGATGATGATGATGATGATGATGATGATGATGATGATGATGATGATGATGATGATGATGATGATGATGATGATGATGATGATGATGATGATGATGATGATGATGATGATGATGATGATGATGATGATCATGATGATGATGATGATGATGATGATGATGATGATGATGATGATGATGATGATGATGATGACTATAAAAGAGACAAATCCTTAATAAACTAAACTAAGTTCTACAATCTATTCCACTTAATAGTTTGTTACATTGAACAAAAACAATAAAAGCAACATTATTCACTATGAAAACATTTTCAAGTCATACAACAGCAACAACAACAAGAACAAAGAACATGAAATAGATTGAATCGGTAACATAAACAACAAAATTATCGAATTAACAAACTAGAAAATAAAAAGAGACAGTGAAAGTAAATGTGAAACGATTGAACATTTCTGTTTCCTGAAACAAAATTCTTTCCATTCTTCTTTTTTTGTTTTTATATCTCTGCTTTACACAAAACAATAACGCACTGAAACAAACAAACAAGCGAACAACCAAAACAATTACCATGATAATAATAATAATAGTAATAGTAATCTCAGTAATCCATTCACTGAATAGTAAACAATTACTCTTATTATTAAAACAAAGAGTCAACTAAACATTGTGGATAATTGAATGTTGAACACCTTAAACTATGAATGAATCAATAATAATAATAATACTAATATATATGTGTATATACTACTAATATTAATACTACTTATATTAATATCCATAATTGTTTATCTATATTAACAAGCTTAAATAATTTTCATTAGAATGATCAAAAGATTAATATAATGACTAATTTTTTTATACTGAATTCAATTATCAATAATCTACAATTGAACATTGAGTTAAATAATTACAAATATGAATTTCATTTATATTAACATGATTATGATTCATGAATTCTATTACTGAAATTACTAATAATATCCATACCCCTTTTTGATGATAATGAACATATGCTCACTAGTGACTGGATTCAAGAAGTATTTTTTGGGGTTCTAATAAGAAGCAGTGATTAGTGGAGTTCGACCGGGTCTGTTGTGAGATAGTAACTGAGTGATGACAATGGTGGATGTATCACTCAGTTTCGTGGATTTGTTAATGCTAGATAATAAGATCACTGTATGACGGCGAGCTCAGTTATGAAGAGGTTATGTGTTAGCACTCAAGACTGATAGATTTTGTGTTCGAATCCCTCGAGATGGGATTGTGGATGCGCACTGCCACTGAGGAGTTCGACAATAGGACAGAATGGCTGTACAGTGTCTCCTGGTTTTCAGTAGTAGTCTAACATCATTTGGTTCATGATCTCAATCAAATACATTATATTCGATCAAGTACTCAACCCGTTTGTCTCATATCGTTAACTTTATACGACGACAACAACAACAACAACAACAACAACTACTACTACTACTACTACTACTACTACAAGTTAGTTTTCAGTCCATAACGTACTGGACTTCAATTAATTCACAACATTAAATGACCATAATTCCTTATATATGAGTAAATCATTTGTTTATACACAGATTTGTTTCACAGCTATTGAGCAATTACTAATAAAAATAAATTGAACAGAATTAGTTTTACATTTGTTAAACGCATTCAGTAGTTTTTCCTCTTCATAATTCCTTTTCTAACTATTGCTTATTGAACATAACAGATAACAGAACATTATTACTTTCAATCAGATTCACATTAGGCTTTATTTTAATATAAATGAATCTTTATATGAAAATATTAAACTGGTTAAGGTAAATCATGAATCAATAATCATAATGAAATAGATACGTAATCGGTAAAATGCATCAATAGATAGTAATAAGACGGGTGAACTAATAATAATGATAAATATAACAAAATAATGTAAGCGATAATCAATGGTTTAGCACAGGAAGTAGGTCAAATTTCAATAAATAAACATTAAACTAATCACTGGACAATAATTCAAATTATTTCAATGGTTGATATGAAAAACCTAAAAGCACTGAATGGCCGTTTCATCCCATCGTGGGACTCCTCAGTGGTAGTGAGCATTCACGATCCCATCTCGCGAGATTCATACGCAGAACCTATCAGTCTGGCGCGCGAACGCTTAATACCGACACTACTGAGCCGATCAGCATCCAACGGTGTTAATGTCTAACGTCAACTAAATGTGAAGAACGACAACTAAATATAGGTTGTGAAAAAGATGTAATCATCCAACTTAGAAAGGAACAAGAGTATTACAAAGCAATAGGAAAGGTGACGAAATTGAGCCTTCTTCAGAACTGTTGAAGGGATATTTGTCTTTTTACTATCAATTTTCACGTTTTATTGTGATCTTCGCATTATAAAGTGTTTTGATTGGTTTAATCATATTTAATAGAATATATATTAAAGTCTGATAACAATCTAATTGAAAGCAATATTGTTCACTTATATATGTTGTTTCAATTACTATATTGTATGTGAGAAACTTAAAACTAACATTCACATTAGTCAGAATAATATTAGCTCAAACTACTACTCCACACTCATCAATAAATACTTATAGTGAAAGAACTTCATAATTAAACAGAGTGATTTAATCTGACCATTGAATATCAAATGTTATGTCACTATGTGCATATGAAATAATGCCAGATTGTTACAGAAGTCTCCTTCAATAATGCCGCATGCAAAAGGATAAATGTGAAACAACAATTATCAATTATGAAGAATAATAATTAGGGTTTGACACGCATATAAGCAAATAATAAAACAATCCATATCAATGAGAGGATGAAAAGCGAATATCCAACGCCTTAACCGGGGTGGTGGACACGGAGAGTCCACCTAAGGGAGTTGGAACAACCTCGTTCCAAATTTCACATAGGCTCCAAGATCCTAAAGGAACAAATTGCGTATGAACCAATCGTTGGTCATCGGCTACCATGGGATCGCATCTTGTGACATTGCTTCACTGCCATATGGATCAAACCTTTATATCGATATCTTCGGGAGTAGCCCCCTCTAAGAAAACTACCTTCTTCGGTTTGGACATCCGAGCAGTATCTCAGCCCTAACATAAATCAAATGATTTATGTGGCGCATATCTATTTGTTGCCTCCTTGTACCAATGTTTATATGTTTGGATGAATAAATAAAAAAATAACCATCAATAAACACAAGTATTGAAAGATCAACTTATTATTGTTATGTAGATGTAACCATATTATTATTGACATTTGTAAATTTTCATAACACAGGTTAATATGTTTAAATGTATTGATTCAGACTATGTGCTATTACACAACAAAAATAATCTAAGATCGATCTATTCCCATAATCTTCTACAACCAGTTTGATGAATGGAAATATCATGTTTAGATCTTCTATTTTATATTCTGTTGCTGAATCTATTCAGCGAATTGTTCTACTCTCAAATTATTTGAACCCCATCTCTATGTTAGGGCATTGATAAATTCCATTAAGTTTAGCTAAGGCACATAGACATTTAACAACGTAATATTCGGAAAACTCAAAACAATCTTTTGATTGAAATCTTGAATCGATTGATGTTACAACACCATTGAAAATCTGGAAGCACTAGACAGCCATTTCATCCTATTGTGGGACTCTAGGGACTTCGGTCTCGCACGAGAACGCTTAACTTCTAGAGCACTGAGCAGGCCGGCATTCAACGGTATTATTGTCTAACCTTAGCCAATCCAAGAAATTGCACAACCACCTTCCATTGTACTGAAGTAGATACATGTCTCTATCCGACACGGATTAGCTCCACTGGTTACGGCTTCTCACTAGAACTACGAGAACTCCCTTACGAAGTTAGTCACTAGTGAAGACCTGGGAATTATCAGTATAGCATTGTGAAGATTATTAAATTTTTTGATTGAGATCAGGAACCAATTTATGTTAGAACACCATTGAAAACGTGGAAGCACTGGACGGCCATTTCTCCTTATTGTGGTACTCCTTAGCAGGACTAAACGGTCGTCCAATGCTTCCAGGTTTTTAATGGAGATCTGAAAATAATCGGTTCATGATTTCAATCAAACACGTAGTAATCTCCATAACTCTATACTTATAATAATCTATCGGAGAATTTATGAATTAGTATCAGAAGGGGTTTTGTAGATATTATAGTAATGTTAATAGTTAAGATCATGAGTCAATTGAGGCCAGACCACCAGGTAAAACCTGGAAGCACGAGACTGATAGATCGTAGGTTCGAATCCCGCGAGACGGATCCATGGATGCGCACCACCATTGAGGAGTTTCACAATAGGACGAAACGATCGTCCAGTGATTCTAGGTTTCAAATGGTTGTCTAGATTCAATTGACTCATGATCTCAACTATTAAAATTACTATAATATCCACAAAAAAAACCCTTCTCATATTAATCAACATATGCTCGCTAGTGACTGGATTCAAGAGGTATTTTCTGGAGTTCTAATGAGAAGCAGTGACTAGTGGAGTTCAACAGGGTCTGTTGTGAAATGGTAACTGAGTGATGACAATGATGGATGTGTGTCTCGATCTCGTGGATCAGTTGAATTTAGATATTAACAGTGTTGGATATCACCTCAGTGGTCTCGAGGTTGAGCGTTCATGCGCGACACTGATAAGTCCTATATTCGAATCTGGCGAGACGGAATCATGGACGCTCACTGCCACTGAGGAGTCCGGCGATGGGACGAAACGGCCATCTAGTGCTTTCAGGTTTTCCATAGTGATCTAGATTCCATTTACTCATGATCTCAACTATCGAAAATTTATGAATTGTTGAGCGCTTTCATTTCTCAAATTCTCTGTATGAATAAATACTGGCAAATTGAATATAAGTTCACTATTTTATTAATCATATTTAATACTGATAAGAATTAGAGTTATTAAGCATATAATAACCATGACTTATAACAATTTTTTAGGTTGTTTAGTAAACTAAATATGAGAATAGGATAATTTTTGTTGTTGTTGGTTTATTTAATCGATTGAGGGTTATTTATTGAACAAAATAATACTGTTCATGGCTCCTTATCTCTAGTATAAAAAAAAATGAGTAAAACAAAGATCAAATAAACATAGAGAACCTATTTTCAACTATAATGATTGAATTATCAACTTAAATCAATGACTGAGTTAATCAGATGTAATGTATTCATATATATATATATATA